ATAAAAACCCCTTTCAACTTAAAATATAAAGACATAATAACAACCGTTTACATCTGATGCAGATATATAAATAGCGTTTCAAAAATGGTATGATTAAAAAAACTGCCCACGTATCATTCTGCGTAAAAATCAGAAAGACATAAAGAAGAAGCAAGGAAATCAGTTTTCTAATACATTTTACGTAAAGATCAGATCTTCTATACCTTCATCGCATTCTGCTGCAAGCGCCGTTCGTCCCGTACAACTGAAAAACAGATTTCCCATTATCTGAAAATAGAAATAATACAGCGACAGAAGAAATAAAATTTTGGAAATATTTTGAAATTATCGCTCACCTTTATACCACTGTGTATATTGAGTTTCGCACGGAATGAAAATAACGCAGGAAATGTTACGGATCGAGAATGGAACAATTCTATGGCCGAAATGTACACAGCGTTAAGTAAATGAAACAATAAATTGAAGGAAATGAATGAGCTCATACGATTGCTGAGACTTTATGTTTTAAACCTCATTTTAAAGAAATACCAGAAAGATCATTCGTGAGAATGAAGATCCGGCTAGGATATAAAAGGCGAGTTCTGTGTTTCATTGATATGTACTCATACAATAACGTATAGCTAACATTATTGATTTTGATATTCGTTTACCTGGTTTGTTAAACTTTTGTTTCATTTAATACTTGAAATTATCAGACAAATTTTACAAAGTTACGTCTATTTCATAAATAATGCACCGATGAAATGCTGGTTAATCATAGCACGTACCTTAAGTATTATATGGCACTACTATTTATGCAAAAATGTGGTATTACCGATTATTTGAACTTCAGTAATTTTTTTAATGTTACAGTAACTGTACTTACTAGATTCGACGAAACCCAAATGTCGCATTCAAAATGAGGTCGTCAGTTTACAAATGATCTTAAAACCCTAAAATGGAACACTTTCTCCGAAATAGTTTAATGCTGGTTAAAAATAACCGCATGTGCCTATCAATTCCTTTAATTTGATTTACTGTAACAAAAAATTAGACTTAGACTCTTAAGCTGTAGCTACGCAAAAATTAGGCGTTGCTTTTGTATCGATATCAATTTTCATATTTTTATATAATAAGAACTAAATCAAGTTCTGCATTATATGATTGGAAAACATCTATATAGTAATTTCATATTAGATGTGATCATATGGCAAGTTCAAAATCATTCGATAGCGTATTAAAAGTAGCATTTGAATAAGTTATGTTGTGTTCGCCTTTAATTTGAATCTAACAGTTATTTCAAACTTTTCTGGGTTTATATATGCTATGTAAAACATTTCTTTAAAATTGCTATTTAACATACATATAATTAAAAGCACTTGCATGTTAAGAGGCGCATAATAACATATTAACTTTATAATTTCAAAAAGTACGAGTGTGATAAAGCAACTTGCCCAGTTAAAAGATATTGTAAGGTTATTTAGCATGTAGTAGGAATTATGAATTGCATAAATTCTGCCAAACCCATTTATGTTAAATCATTATAAACATTTTCAAATTAATACAATTTAAATGGATGAATGTCATCTTATCAAAATGTCTGATAATTCTGTTTTATTCTTGGATAAAACAAACTCATCTCGAATGATTTTTTTCATTCTGGTTTAAAATGAGACTAAATTCTGGTTAGTAAATAATGCTAACATTCAACGAATCTGTCAGTTTGAATATAAAGTTTATAACACTTACCTAACAGGCTAAAGTCCGGGGTGTTCATGTATACTGTTTGTCAGAATAATCACATTGACCCGCACGTAATCAGTACAATGTCAAGAGAATAAGAGAAAAGTAAACAGAAGATACGCTTCAAAATGAAATGCGCCAACGGCAGCGATATGACAACATCTTTGGCATTATCACGAATCATGTACCTGCCACTACTTTCAATTGTTTCCCTAACTTTTATGACTTTTGTTTTTGCCTGTTACAGTCACAGGGCGGTCAGATTTTGTTGCATCTTTGATTGATTCCGTGCCGCTCAGAAATGTTTTTTTTTTTAATCTAAATATTGTCTCATAGATACCTTATCAGACAAATAAATTTTTCCCCAAAGCAGTAGAAATCTGCTTTACCAAATAATTGAGTTTTGTGGGAACTTTTAAATAAACTCTAAATCACTCATTACTTCAAACAAAAATCGAGGTTGATAAAAATCACCTACAAGAATCTTTTAATTATGAACGGTTCTTGTATAGTATTGTTATTTTATCTTGCTGATCACTGTGGAACAAAACGGAACAAAATATGTTATAGCTGAAATGCGGACGAGATGACTAAGATTTCTTCCTAAGAAGCATTGATCCCTTGAGACAAAATATTAAATGACTCAGAACAGGTTGTTTATAAGTTCCATTTTTTCAGAAGCTTCGCCAGGAAAATATCAAATGGATCTCCTCTTTGAACTGAGATAATGTATTTTTATATTGTGTATATTATTGAGCACTACCTATGTCTCTGAATAACTGTGAACCTCTAATACTTTCAATGTTCCTGAAGAATCAGTTTAGTTACTACAAAATATATTCTAGTTCGACCGAGTAGAAATCAATAAGCTTATAATTACACTATCGAATCCGTTACTGATATCAAACAAGTACATTACAATACTTGTAAGGTTTCTTGCTCAAGGAAAGCACGGCATGGCAAGAGGTGGTTTGAACTAATGTGGCCAGCATTCTTAAATACTACTCGATTCTGTCGTCCCTATAATTTATAAACATTGCATACGTTAGACTCTTTTGACAAAATACATTGGACATTGATACATTCTAATATAAAAAGGTATTTTTTAGTGTTTCTTAGAATGTAAAATCTCATTTATTTTTCAATAAAAGCTGAGAAATGAAGTTCAAAACTTAGCATGAGATGGCTTTTTAAACAAAAAAGCCTTATTTTTTTCTGCTTTAAATGAATAAAACAATTCTAAAAGATAAACATGTACATTTACATCATGCCGTGATTTTTTTCTATTTTATGCGAAATACCGAGTGGAGTAATATAAAGATTAAATTTCATTGACATAATTTCCGCCATTTTGAAAATTTCGTATGGACGCGATGGAAGTTATGTTATGGATATTTAAAGGATACTTGATAACTGAACAAAGGAAACGGATATTAAGATTAACAATTAGCAATTAATGGTTGCTGTATATGTGTAAACATTCGAGAAATGACCGGGAATTTAAAAACGTTGACAGTTTTGATAGACTGCCTTAAAAGCGCTCGGTTATTTGTCTTTCTGACTGATTAGGGCAATAAACACATATAGCTAATAGGAAACTTATGTACTCAAGTGTTTGCAAGTGCAGTTTCTCATGTGGACTGGAGTGTAAATACCAGCGACAATTACTAATCTTAAGAAGCAAGAGACGATCAGAACGATGACCAAGTGAATTAAGTGAACTTAAACTATGTACGTTTAAGTTGTAAATAATGAATAATCAAATTCAACTTTTAAACTACAAACAGGTCTTATATTGTCCTAATATTTAGAGATTATTTAAAAGGGAAAATAAATGTAAGTTACCACATCGGTAAGCACACTTAATGCCCATAAAATGTGAAATATGTTTTCAAAATATTTGTATCCTTCCGACTTATTTGCCAGAACAATTCCAAAACTTAAAAGTCAACTGAGCCATGTGCACATTGCAATTATATGAGGTCATATAACCACAAATAATAACATGTATATGAGACATGATGTTTGGTCTATCGAAGATACATTTTGCCATTGGTGGTTAGTATGTAACGTCCCATAATTAATTATAGACTACGAAGCTTTGTGTACGTGGGGTGATCCAGAAATACTCGTATTGCATTTTTCTTTACTAGTGCGTTTTTGCTTCTTGTTCGTGCATCTACACCTGCAGAGGCACTTTCACAGCTAATGTGCTTTTAAAAAAACAATTGATGTATCTTATCCCAGTCAAAATGATTTTGTAAACTTTCTTCCCTTTAAGTTTAAATTTTGTACCTTGACATTTTCCATTTTTTATTTGCTGATTGTATAAAAAAAAATATTCACAGGTTTTGGTTTCATTTCATTTGAATTAATGATTGCGAAGAAAATTTGTTTATAGAAGTAGTTTGCAGATTTAAGATAAGAGTGTCAGGTATGTTTTCTAAATGCATAAGCTTAAGAAATATGTATTATTGACGTCTTATAAAAAATCAAAATCCTTACATTTATACTCATTTATAATCAGAGTTACACAAATCTTTAATATGTCTTTATATGAGATATGTTTTGTTATACACGTATTTTTATCAAAGTATTTCCATGAGCTATCATGGTTATCTTTGTTTAAATATCTTTTTTATTCTACTTGCTTTTATATATTGTAGAAAGTATTAAATGTCTTCCACCATTCCTAATGCTCTGCTTTACATGATTTTGTTAAATTTTATCTTTTTTTCCTTCTCAAACAAAATGACGTATTGCATTTTTCATTTCCTTTATTTTTATTCTGGCAGGTTTTCTAACACCGCAAAAAAATTAGTTTTATATTGCAAATGTCTTAAGTATGATGGCTGATTTGTACCATTTGTATTTCGCCCCGCGACCGCATCAAGCAAAAAGTCGAGAATTAACAATCAAAACTGTGGGGCGCAGAGCGAAAATATTGTAATTAGCATGGCGCGGGGTGGATTAGTGCCTCATTACAATACATATTTTGCTTCGCGGCCCCACCGTATTACAATTAAATCTCGACTTTTTGTCCACGCCCAAGCCAGTTAGCATGTATTCGCTCCGCATCCCCGCCGTTTTAACTTGTTAATTCTCGACATTTTGCAGGGCGGTATTGCGGGACGAAAACAAGAAACGGTACAATTCAGCCACCATACCATACTTTAACCATTACTTCATGAGCATTTTGCGCCTCTCACCAAAATTTACTTGGCGATCAGGTCCGAGTAGTATATAACCTGCTGTGAGCTCATTTTCAAGGACACAAACGCAAAACAACTTGCTTAGTACAAGTATAAATTTGTTTGAGAAACAACAATCTTTAAGGTACTTTAACTTATTTTTGTGAATATTTTCTACAAGTCTTTACATAGAATTAACATTTTGATAAGTAATATTTTAAGTAATTTTAAGCTGATGATTTTATTGATTAATAGTAGCAGTTATACAAGGCTTACTGACAGTACTGAAAGGTTATTTAAGTTTATCTGCCTTATATGTCTGAATTAGTGACTTTGTTGAATGTAATCAAGTCTGAGAGAGAAAGTGACTGTTTTGTAAATGGAATAATGGTGATGTATTGTTGACATAAGTTGTTCTTGTATAAAATATAATTGCGATTGACTGTTGAAAGAGAAATGATATATGTGTTTAGTAAATGAATAAATTGAAGTTTTAAGTTTATCACAAGTCTTAGTTTTTCGATTGGATCACATGAATTATCACAAGAATTAGGGTTTTAAAAGGAAAGCAACAGCTGATAGCTGATCAGGATAGCTACAAATAACAGATATTGTCCATTATTACCCAAGTTCGGAATCCAAGGCTCGAGCTACCAATTGTGATCGACTGACGTCCGTGTCTCAATAGCGTAACACTAAATTTATGGTGGCAGCGGTGGGATTCAAACTTCCTTGAATCCAGCGATACGAACCAACGTTTTTCCAAGATGTCATCAGACGATAGGCCAATCATTAATGGGGATGAGATGTTAACACAGGAGGTTGATGAAGAAATAACGTTTCGTTTCCCAGGGACCGGTCCTGTCACTCCACATGATTCAGTAGATCAAGTGCCGTCTACGTCATATGAAAGTGATATACAGCATGATGTCAACATTGATAATGGTGTGAATATTCCCCTTAATCAAAGGAAGCATGAGGAGGGAGACAGTTCTTTATCAGAAATTGGTCAGGTAGTCAATAGTATGGCTGGTGTATTAAAAGATGTTGTAAAAGAGTTACAAATTTTGAGACAGCCAACTGTAAACAAAGAAACCTATCCTAGCCAAGATTTGAATAACAGACACAGGCAGGCTACTGATGTATTCAGCCAATATACTCCAACAGGATGCCCTGCATCATTGGACAGGCAGTATAGTAACAGAGGTATCCAAAGTGAAAGACAGGCATTTACTTCATATGGTGATCATGCCTACAGTAATATATCCTATAGTAATAATAGGGTCTTGCCTTATCAAGATCAAGGTTACAGTCATGATTCATTTAGAACTAGCCCACATGAAGGATTTCCAGATAGGTCAACGCAGTATTTACCACATAATAGTAATGATTCAACATCATACAATAGTTTTCAGCAGTCATCAAGGCAAGGTCAAGTAAATGTGAAGATTCCGCCTTTCACGGGAAAAGAAGACTGGGCAGTGTGGCACGCACGATTTGAGGCAATAGCTGCACGGTATAGATGGAGCATAGATGATAGGCTTGACCAGCTTCTTCCGCGCATTGAGGGACAGGCAGCACAGTTTGTTTTCTCACAGTTGCAGCCGAATGTATTGCATAATTATTATGCTCTTGTGTCTGAGATAAACAGCAGATACCGTATTATCGAAACACCCAGGTCCTTTGCAGCTAAGTTTAGCAGAAGAGTGCAAAAACATGGCGAGACAGCTGAAGAATTTGCGTCTGATTTAAAGAAGCTTTATGACAAGGCTCATGGTTACCGAGATACAAGAACAAGAAATGAAGATCTTACAAGGCGTTTCCTAGATGACCTACTAGACGAGGAAATAAGATTTCAAGTTCCTGTACAAAACTTTCAAGAAACTTAATGGGACAGGTGAACATAAGCAACTTGTAGTGCCAAGAGTATTAAAACGTGATGTCATGTACCAAATGCACTCAACATTTCTCTCTGGTCACCTTGGAACAAAGAAAACTGTCGAAAACGTCAAGCAGCATTTCTACTGGTACAACTTAAAGGAAGACATAAACCATTTCATTAGAACTTGTGACACGTGTGCAATGAACAAGCTTCCATATAAAACTCCAAGAGCACCTATGGGTCATCTGAAAAGTGGAGCCCCATGGGACACCCTTGCAATTGACTATATGGGACCTTTGCCTATAACACCAAGAGGTAACAGGTATGTGCTTGTGTTGACCGACCACTTTACAAAGTATGTAGAAGTCTTAGCTGTACCTAACCAATCAGCAGAAGAGTGTGCTACCAGAATAGCAAATGATTTCATTGCCAGATGGGGCACCCCATTGACAATCCATAGCGACCAAGGATCATCTTTCGAAAGCAGGGTATTTAAGGAGCTCTGTAATTTGTTCGAAATCAGGAAGACTCGCACTAGTGTCCGACACCCCCGTGGAAATTCTCAAACAGAGCGATTTAACCGGACCTTGGTTAAGATGATCAAAGCTTATTTGACAGATTCGCAGGATGATTGGGATGTTCACCTAGGATGTTTGGCTGGGGCATATAGGGCAACACCGAACGAATCAACAAAGCTGACACCCAACCTTCTTAGTTTTGGCCGAGAGGTACGCCTCCCTGGAGATGTAATGTATGACTATACAAGCCTACAAAGCAGTGATGTGCCAAGTTATGGTGAACATATTGAGAAGATTAAAGGCCAGATGTTACATGCCCATGATGTCGCAAGAAGATATATGAAAGCCAGTACCAAGCGAAGCAAGGAGCTCTATGACACTAAGACTTCATATAATAATTACAAAGCAGGGGACATAATTTGGTGTCGTCATGAATCGCGAAAAGTTGGCGTTTGTCAGAAACTGGAGAAAATTTATGACGGCCCCTACATGGTTAAATCGAAAACTTCGCCATTTAACTTTTTGATCCAGATAAATAAAGATGGTCAAGAAAAGCTTGTTCATCACGACAAGTTAAAGCCGTATGAAGGAACCTCACCGCCTAAGTGGATTATCAAAGCAAAGAAAAATTTATTGAAGCAATAGTGCAAATATGGATGTTTAAATGCAAATGTGTCAATTAACATTTTATTGTCAGTGTTATAATGAAAATTGTATTGGAAAATGGACTTTGTTAAATTAAAACAAGTTTGCTTTGTAAATTATAGAAGACAATGTATTTATAAACATGTGTGCTATGTAAATTTTATGAAAGACTATATATTTATGAACAGTGAAACTGTATGACTTTGTACGTGTTCAATGTAGTGCGAGTGTGCAAGATAATGATATCAATTTGTGAAGAAAGATGCAAATTAAACATTCAACAAAGTACTGTATAATTTGACCGAAGTACTGTATAATTTGATAGTGTCAACTGTAAATCAACACGTATATTATGTGTAAACATACATTCAGGATCTCACCTTTTACAAGCCTAGAAACTGTCAGTGGGTCTTTAATCAAAAACCAGTAATTAACAGTAAACATATTATATACTAAATAGTATATACAATTTTCAGTAAGGATTGTTTCCATATTGTATCATTACAGGGCGAGATGAGTCTGACAGACAAGGGTGTAAAGAAGGGTAGGCTGTACTCATGTATACATTGTGAGAAGGCTGGCAAGTCGTATCGAGAGGCGAGGTACAGAGTTGTGGGGCACATATTGAAGCACCATTTGTCCTTGGACCAGACACCCTTTTATTGTAGTCTGTGTATGTTCCGGTGCTTGACAGCAGATGCTCTCCAGAAGCATGTCACAGGGTATAAGAGGCATCTACTTATGGCTGAGGGTGAGCAGGTTAACAACAGTAACTTTTTAGTGCAAAATAAGTTGGCGAGACCTATCTGTGAAGGCACTGACTACCGGCAACTGAGCCTCAGGGAGCAGTTCTCATCTTCGACGTCTGCTGAAGATCCACTTAACAGAACAGACGAGTTCTTATTAAACGACTTTGATGCTCTTGATGAACAAGTTCAGGCTGAATTTCAGTCATCAGCAGTCAATCGTGACATTGTGAACAACTCAACCAGTGGTCAAAGTTTTAACCAGGTCGGTGCTCAGGGTCTTATCAACGTACAAGTGACGCCTGACGTTCTCGCTCAACTGATGCAGCAGAAGCAAGTCAACCAACCACAACAGGCTCAAACACAGGTGAACCAAGGCAATCAGATGTTCGTACCCCCACCACCAATTCAACGACAATTGCAGGTACCTCTGGCTCCACACACACTCAAACGTCTGGTTCACTTTTGAACATGTTACAACAAGTACCAGGTCAGTCAACTTACAACAATCATAACAACAACTCTTCAAGCAGTACACCACTTTTGGATGAATTACGTAACACGGTCATTTCTTTTCCAACACCAGACAGAACCACTACCAAGCAGAGAAAACAGACACCGAAATCATCAAAGCTAAATACACCAAAGGGAAGCCCACCTGAAGATATCATGAACCAGCTTTTAGGGGACCTACCAGACTCACCTGCGTTTTCCGCATTAGAATCTGGCCAGATGGGTAAACAAAACCAAGTCTCAGCCATGTATGTGCGTACAAAGTCTGTACAAACTGAACCTGTGCAAGAGCCAGAGCCAAAGAGGCCATGTAGAGACGAGGATCTAGAAAACAGGACAGCATTATTAGCAGCCCTTGGAAAATTACAGCCGCAATAGATAGGAACAGCAGAGCAGTCAGGAATCAGGACAGCACTATCTCCCAAGTAGTTGATGCACTGTCTAAATTAGAGAAATCAGTGTCATGCATTGCCGCTGGACTCAAAAAGAAAGATTCGTATAACAGGGGCAAGGAAAATATAGACAGCCCAAACAAAAAAGTGCTGAAATCAATAGTAAAGAAGAAATAAACTCGACATTACAACAACTGATTCCTTATTAACAAAAAAAAACAAAGAACAGGAACTGAGACAATTTTGAATATTTTAAAACATAAATCGATTAACCTCATTTGAAAATTAATTAGAACTCTTTAAATGAATGAATTGAAAAAACTGAAACATTTAATACATATCGCGTAATACATCAAGAAGATGAACAGATGAACATTAAGAAATTAATCTTTATTCATACAGAAGTTGAAATTATTGTAATGAACGTTTAAATATGAGATACGCATTGTGAAAAGCGATGTGAAATGACAGTGCTTTAAATAGTGAATTTTATGAAGGAACTGTGACATTTATTTATATTATCCAGAATTGATCATATATCTAAGATGAGAAGAGACTGTTGTGCAAAGTTTATTTTGAGTATTTATGATGTGATACAGACACTGACATTTTAATTGAAGTTTATTATGAATTATTGAAATGAACAGTGAAAAGTTACATTATTTATGAAGTTTGTGCTATTGTTGAAATATTGGAATGTGTTTAAGCAAAACTTGTGTTGAGAAATTAGTGTTTTTTCGAAATTGATTCATGTTGTTCAATTTTTAAATATTTTAAGGTGCTCACGCATTTTCATGTTTAAGGTGGTTCTACACATGCTTTATCATAACTATAGTAAGTGAGATGTAATAACATTGACAGGTGAATTATTTGTGAAATATTTTATGTCAGATGGAACTTTGACATTGTAAGAGGGGGGTAATGTAATACCCTGGTCCATAGTTACTTCAATAGAGGCAGTTAGAATCTAACTTTAAAGCTTTATTGTATTTTTATTTCTTGTCTAATGTGTTTATAACTTGTTGGATAACAAGTTTATATCCATGGCTTTATAATTGCTAGGTATTTAACTTAAATCAGTTTATTGTGTGCATGTAGAACTTGTAAATGCAGGATAATATAATTTACTTCCTGGTTTAAGCAGCCATGTTTGTATACATCCTGTTGCATTGCATTGTGGGTAGTTGCTTAGCAACTGCAGCTTCCTTTTATTGTTTACTTGTCAATGCAGAGATGTTAAGCAACTTTCATCAACAATTTAAAACTGTTAACCCCATTAAAAGGAAATTTGAGGTTATAATCTTTTGTATTAATTATATTTTTATTAAATAAGACTAATAATTATAGATATATTGGTAATTTTAATATTAAAATTCTCATTTGTTTCCAGTGACTGTGAGCTTCACAGTTTCACATTATTTTATATGAAGCTGTGTTCACATGATTTTATGTGAAGTTGGGAAACTTCACAAGTTGTGAAATGTGAACTTCCACACTTTTTTGTGTGAAGTCTGAGTAGTATATAAACTGCTGTGAGCTCATTTTCAAGGACACACACGCAAAACAACTTGCTTAGTACAAGTATAAATTTTGTTTGAGAAACAACAATCTTTAAGGTACTTTAACTTATTTTGGTGAATATTTTCTACAAGTCTTCACATAGAATTAACATTTTGATAAGTAATATTTTAAGTAATTTTAAGCTGATAATTTTATTGATTAATAGTAGCAGTTATACAAGGCTTACTGACAGTACTGAAAGGTTATTTAAGTTTATCTGCCTTTTATGTCTGAATTAGTGACTTTGTTGAATGTAATCAAGTCTGAGAGAGAAAGTGACTGTTTTGTAAATGGAATAATAGTGATGTATTGTTGACATAAGTTGTTCTTGTATAAAATATAATTGCGATTGACTGATATATGTGTTTAGTAAATGAATAAATTGAAGTTTTAAGTTTATCACAAGTCTTAGTTTTTCGATTGGATCACATGAATTATCACAAGAATTAGGGTTTTAAAAGGAAAGCAACAGCTGATAGCTGATCAGGATAGCTACAAATAACAGATATTGTCCATTATTACCCAAGTTCGGAATCCAAGGCTCGAGCTACCAATTGTGATCGACTGACGTCCGTGTCTCAATAGCGTAACAATATTCTGTGGAAAGCTTATATTTTCCCCCGTAGACTGGTGCATATCCCAAAGAAATTGGTACAGAAATAAAATATTTACGGCTATTTTCTTTTCCGAATCGAGCAACATTTGTCTTGGAAATGATGCCGAAAATGACGTCAATGTCACGTGGTATTGCTACACTTTTCGTAACTACCAATGTTTTGCTGATTCTGATGACAAGTTTAAGTTGTGATTTTTACAATATATTTTACCTGTATTCCGAAATATCCAAATTGTATTTGTAATATTGTTGGGTTTCATTCTATCATAGAAGTGTTGACTGATAATTGTAAAATGGTTAAAAGAATAATTGCGGCTTGTCTATCGTTATTATAATCAGATTCTGTGCTGTAACTTTCTTATTTGGTTCAATAACAAATATCTTTGAAGCCATGAAAACAACTCTGTCAATGTATTAGCAGTCCTTATGTTTTAATATATGCCAAAGTAATGACATCAGCTGTGTTCACACAATATATCTTTAATAATATTATAAATCCTGTCATTGCAAGTATGCCAGATATCTTTCACTAAGTAAAAATAGACAAAAAACAATAAATTGAGACTCTTATAAGGATCTTACACCGGATACCTGTACTGACAGAAATTTCTTGCATAGCAGAGTCAAAATGACATTTTCGTTTGTTTTACCCATGCCGGAAATTTTATCTGGCATTCATGGGGTGCTAGAAGAATCGCATGTCATACAACAACGTCATTATAGTGCATAATCCATTTTATTAATGAACCGTGTGAAAATGACGTCATTTTGGAGCTTTGTAAAAGGATATTATCATGTGCTTAGAATGACGTCATTTCGCCGTTGTTATTAAAATTGTAAATTCATAACCTATTGTAAGAAAATAGTAAGAAAATGACATGAATTTCCTAGAACAAATATCTTATTGAGGTAAACCATTTTAAATATATAGGGGAGATTCAAGTTTTTTCTATAAATACAAGATTTATTTTCATCAAGTGATATAAAAATAAATATTTTTTAGTGGCAGTAGCCACAATTGAAATATGATAATTTCATACCACGAGATGAAAAAAACTTGAATTTTTTTATACAGTTCAATTTCGTTTTTCTGAAAATGTATTTTGAAGAACTTCCCCTAAAATTTGTGTTTTGGCTGAATTGAGAAGAACAGTAGTCCGGCGAGACACCAGTTAAAAAAGGTAAATATGTTTCACTGCAGTGAAAATGGAATTAATATTATATTTACATGTACTTTAAGTTAACATCACATCTTTACAACTTTAATGTTTTGACATACTTTTTACAAACAATATTTACAACATATATTCATGTCATATTGTTTAGTAACCAGTCAACTGTAATACAATGATCATCTTTCATTTAAAACACAAGTCTTTTCTTGCCTTTAACAGTTACACACCACTGTCCCATTTATCTAAGTGTATAATATATAATATACATATTAACGTACATCTACTTACCAAATGCTTTAAGCAGAATTAGTCCTGAATCCAGGTGAATGATTTGTATGGCTGCTTTTCCATACATCTTCGTCTTGAGTGTACATTTGTAAATTGGAAACTTTTAACATTTTTGAAACAATTTTGAAACATCCTCAGCAGTGTATTGAATATAAATCTTCAATTTTCTTCCATATTTTCTTACTACAACTCGATTTAATTCATTATAATGTTATTTTTTGAAGATGTCATACCGTATCCGAAATATCAGTCCGAGCACTATTATACTTATAGCTCTCCGGTTTATCACACGTTCCCAACATCAATGTAAGGATTGGGCTATCCAGGAAACATGCTGTTCCTTTTTTAAGACAATATAAAGTCAGTTATGCATTCGTAAAATACGTACTTCATACAATAAAGCATTTATTTAAAATGTTAAAATATTCAGAAAATTGCCAACACTGGAACGGAAATTGCCGGTTAGCTGTGATGTTTATAGAATCTACGGCTAATATAAGAACGAATTATTTTCATCGACTTTTCCATTTGAATGACACGTTTATTACCTTCTATTAGGATGGTGTACAAATTACCGACTAATTTGAATGAAATTTTTAATTAATACATCTTAACTTTTTCCTATTCTTTTTATCTACTTTTGTATCGATAACTGTATTGAAATCGCCATCGACGATTACAATATTGTTACACTATCTTATAAAAGAAATGTTTTCAATGTTGCAAATAAATTGATATCATCATCATTTGGTCAATATATAAATTATAAAGTAAATTCGTTATTTTTATAGTTACGTCAAGTGATATTAATCTACTAATGATTTACTAGTTTGTATTTACTACTTTATGTTCCTTAAATACTTTTGAGATAAATATCGCTACACATTCTTTATGAATTTTATTTCTGCTAAAATATGGTTCACATTTCCAAACCTTTTTTTTCAAGATTTTGGTATAATTTTTACTATAATATGTATCTTGCAACACACATACATACAAGAACATGGTTGGTGTCTAACTATTCAAAACGTTGTTGTCTGTTTTGTTTATTTCCTAACCATCAAACATTAAAGAATGTGTTTTTCTTAACCATGCTGTAAAGAACTGATACTAATTGATAAATACATTAATTGATAAGCTGATAAACTGGACAAAATCAAAGTCATATTATGCACATAAAAATAAAGTATCCTTTAACCCTTTCCCCCATGAGCATATTGTGAAAAATGGCCATTTTCACTGAAAAGCCTCCTCTTACAAGTTCAAACTGCAGCTATGAAAATATGAAAAATGCTTCAATACTAATCAAACTTGGCACAAATGTTAACTGGACCATTGCCTTTGTAACGACATGCTCAGTCTTAAATTTCCTGTTACCATGGCAACGAGGGGACATCTTAAAATTTTCGATTTTTTCCATCAAAATTTATTTCAAAGTGTTGCAACTTCTCAAGGGATTGAGATAGAGTCAAAGGCTTTTGTTAGCGTTGATTACACGTTACCTTATGATCGACCTGGGGTCATTTTAAGCGTCTCACAAGTCCAAAATTTTCTTGGCGATGAGGGGGACTCCGCCCCCCTTCAAACCCCCCAAACAGAAATACGATATGTCACAATGCTTTCCCATTCATTCATGCATATGTATAAAATTTGTTTAAATCCAATGTTATCACAAAAAACATGATACCACTGGCTACATATACTTTCTCGAAATGGTAAAACATACACTTTAAAATTCGATTATGTACGTCAATTGCCTCGATTTCATACTATGCCCGGTGTGAATCATAAAATAATTTGTATGAGTTCAGAGAAAATACCATTTTGTTTTATCATTCAATATAAATTATGGATATGTAAACTCACTCTGATTACATAATTTTATTTACCATTCTCAAAAAAATGTTAACCATGCAACTATAAAGACGACGTGAGCGTAAAAACCTCCATTTATACTATATGGCACACGCATGAAGCGAAAATACCGCTTAATCTTATTGTTTAAAGATTTTTTATTTAAAAAAAGAGAAAGAAATAAAAATATCAGCGACTACAATCATCAGTCTCAACAACGTGTCGAGATAAAATTGAAAATCGTCGATATATGTAACTGACCTGTTTTATACACTTTGGCAAATGAAACATATACATTCATATAAAGAAACATACATATATTTCAATCACGAGTAATAGTTAGTAAAGTGACTATACATATGTAACGGACTATGGTAATTTGTATTACAAATCTCATTATTGCAAAACAAACATTGTCAAATAGCATATTTCGGCTAAGTGGGTATGACATACATATCATTTAAAAGATACAATCATATCAATTTCATGAAATATAAACCAAGATCAGATTTAAAGGAAATTATTCCTTTATATGGAACGCAAAACATTTTTGTAAATACTGCATGAAAATGGGTGTTTCCCCGATAGCACCGAAAGAAACAATATAACATGAACCTTCCAGACTATGTTGGCTTGAGTCTATTGATAAGAGACAACAAACAAGAGCACTGCAATATCAAAGCGGGGCAATATACACCCGAACGAAACCTTGTTTGAGTTATAAAAAATATTTTTAATAAGGAAAGAAACCCATTAAAAAACTACACAATTCCTTTTAAATCTTATTTTTCCTTTAAATACTAAATAACCCTATGCCTGCACGGCAATTAAGGTGTGACATCGGTAGTTTTCCACAAAAAGAGTTTATGTATTGTGTAATACATCAATCTACATATTAAAGCATGATAACCCAAAGGGAACAAACAATTTTGACCTCAGGGTCATGGTAAATACCACTTGTGTAGTAAACTATAAATTGATACGTCTTTATAAAAAGTAACCCCAGAGTGGGGCCAGTCCTTAATCTTCAACGCTTAAGTTCATGAATCGAGGATCCAAAAAGACTTGAGAAATATGAAAACAATGAAGTGATGAACGGGGAAACATTTTACAGCACATGAATTGACACCTGCTGTTGTGTAATGGAAAAAAATGAAAGTTTTTTTAAAACATAGCTGATGCAAAAGTAACTTCTAACAATATGATAATATTAAATGGTACAACTTTAATAACTTTAGAAAAAAAATGAAACAGGTATTAATTCAAAGTCAAATGTTATCATTAAGGTTTGATATTTCTGTCAATGTATAAATCAAAATGTGTGAAGTTTCAATTGTTCGGCGTTGGAATATGAATCTGCCCATTTATATCAAGGAAGTTATTCCATAGAAACTTAGAATGATTAACGGTGTAGATATATTTTGTAACAAAGTAATTGTTGAGTAGTTGTTCGGTGCAGATAACCACCTTTTAACATAAGTAAATTAAAAGACAAATTCTGAATACTTGAGACTTTATTGAATAGTCAACTTCACGTGAATTATATTATTACCGGTTATGACTGTTTGATAATAGCTGTTTAACAAGCTCGTTTTGAACAACTCAAACACCATAGACACTTCGCTCGTCCGTATGTACACAAAACTATATGGTTGAGCTAAAACACTCATGCTTAGTCAGAAAAGTAAAATTCATGATATTTCAGTTTTCCAAAATATACTAATTACACCTGTCACATTAGTTAAAATGCAACAAACTTTAATGCACATTTGTTGCCAACTGCCTGTTTTTTAACTTTTCATATTTGTCTACAGCTGTCCAAATAGCTTTTTCAGCCGTAACCTTTTTATCTTTTCCATATTCTTGGTTTTGAAAGTAATCGACAGCGTCAAAAACGTCAAATTCTTTGGTAATTTCAGACGCAGCTATCCTCATGTCAGATACTTTGAAATGCAGGAGGACCAGTATAACTCTTTTGTGATATATTTCTGAAAAAAGATAAAAAGTTATTATAGCTGTAATAAATTTTCTCGTGATATTTTAAAATTCAACAATTACTTTAAATGTAACATTTTTTATAATCAATGCTCATACAATCTGTCCTCGGCTTTGTTTATATGTGTTGTGGGACATTCATTTGTTATGGAAACACCTATATGCATTCTCAATTGTCGTTCTTTTTAAATTAGTATGTTAAGAAATTGGCTTTTATTGTCAATGTTCATAATTATTCTCGTTTACAAAAGAAGCTATTCGATGACAGTGTGTTAAGTTTCACTTCTGCAATTTTGCTTTACTTACAATTGTTAATATTGGCACTAGTTCAATATTTATAATATAGATATAACACTACTTTAACGAACCAATTTGACGTAAAAAGTTTTAAGAAGGATAAGTTGAGCAATGTTTCCATTAAAGTGATCGTTGCTTGATAAATAATGAAACCACATCGCATAAATTAGGCAGATTAGGCCTCAGAAATAAATCATTATTCTATAGAGAGGACAAACACGTGGTAACAGACGTTGTAATAATGGATTTAGAACATTGTTGATGTAAAGTAAAAATGTTGAATGGAATTTCACTTTTATTTCATTGTATTTTATTTTGTTTTTTAACTATTATTATTATTATTAAGGTTTAAGGTTTGATTAAGCAACATGTAAATAAAGTTGTATCTTGACTTCTATACAAAACACTTACTTGCTGTAAGTACACTAATTGCTAAAACATAAGAAGAGCAAGCAATGGCACATATATATGGACAATGGGAAACATTTGGAAACTATTACAAAATAACAAAACTTTTGAAAAAAACAATCATACATGTATAGCATTTTTCTTTATTGCCATTTTTATTCATACAAATATAAAAAATATATATATTGTCAATATGAACTATTATGCAATACAAACAAACCTTTAATTCCAGATAAGGTTGTTCTTACATCTGAAACAGGTCGTGAATGTATGAGAGAAATCACAAGTAGAGGATCTTCATTTTTATCCAACGTTTCTGAAAGGTTTTCAGTAAACTCTAATATCATTCCCCTTTGCTCTAGGTGACTATTTAGTTTATCAAGACATGTATTGTGTCTTTCTATTCTGTCTTCTCCACCATATACGGCAACAATCTAAATCAAAGTTTAAAATGAAAGGATATGAGCCCAATCAGGGAAACATTTGTAATGCACAACAATTTGTTTATATTCACAATAAAAATGATCATATCAACCGAGTCAGCAATTTTCAAGTAATTTTGTTGTGATAAATGCTTCCGAGGGATTATTTTGTTTCCAGATTTTTGCACAAAACACATAAGACGATTAAATTCTTGTAAGAAGGTCGATTTTTTACTTTAATGAAAATATGTTTATTTATTCTACATGCAATATTTGTATTGATATTTTCACCTTACCATTCTAGTTAGAGACCTGATATAAATATAAAATATTGTTTACTTCAATCGCTTACCTTTATGTCATTTATGTTTGGGAGATTAACTATGGTTTCCTGTTTACTGACAAACTTTTTAACTAAATCACCATTGATGTCTACACTTATTTCCATATGGTTTACTGGTTCCTGTAAAATCAATGAACTATAAATTCAAATTGAAAACAGAAACTTATATTTGAAAATTACATAACCTTAAATTTCGTAAAACATGCAAACTATTCTAGCACCACATACGGTTAGTGTCCATTTCAGTTTCACTTCATTGTTTTAAATGTATACATATATTATATTTATCAATGCTCTGACATTACATCAATATATAATTCGTTAAGTAACTAGCTGAAGATTGTACTGTACGGCAAGTCTTTTTATTTATTTTTGTTTCATAAAAACACTGTTAAATAGCCTTATTATATATACCTTATATTAATTAAAGCTTGATGATCTGCATGTATTCGTGCTGTAGTATAAACGAAAGTTATGGAATCCCGAAATCGTCTATTTAATATGACAAACTAGTTCATTCAGAATATTTCACGCATTCTTTGTATTAGCATAAGATGTCATTGGGTATGTTGTATGGTACAAATGCGATTAACAATAGAAACAAAAACATTTCATTTTTTCTTATATCAATTATAGAAATAGCGTTTTAGGGCTTTACTTACAGGTGAGTCATTCTTTTTCAAAGGTCCTTTCGTGCCTTTAATATTGTCAAACAACTTATGCATAACCACTTTCAAAGTAAAAACAACATCCCCGTGAAGAATTAAGTCGTAATTTAAGGCGACATCAATGCAATTAGATGTTGCTTCTTGGCTGACCAACAAATATTTGGCTTCATTAATTTTTTCTTTAATCCAATCATTCATAGTTTTACATTTACAGTCGTTTGGTTGGCAGTTGCAATTCTGCCTACATATGTTACACTCGAATACAAAACACTCCTGACAGTATACTTCTTTACAGTTTGTACATCGGGTTCCAAATTCAAACATTTCTTTCATATTTTTCTGCATGTTTAGTCACTCTCTTTGAACTTCTTCTTTTTCTGATTATCTATCTTCTATACCCGTTCTTGCACATGCATAAAGAATCTAAATATCCGTTAAAGTGTTATAAAAAGAATTGCAACGATATAAAATATATTATCCTTACTACATGGTTAAGTGGTACATGTAATGAACATGATATTTTGCTTTATCTTATCAACAAACACTTTACCCCGTTTTATCTTCAGCACAGCTTGTTACATAGATTTGCAAATTATCTATCACAACAAATTTAAAAAGAAACTTTTCATAAGTGATCACCATAGAAATATTAATAAGAAGTCTGCAAGATTTCTTTGCAGACAAAAACATCAACAAAACTTGCTGTCAGCAGTCATTAAAAGTACAAACGTCATGGACTGAACAAGGGTGATAATGCCCCTGGCTCACTCACCTAAGAATTATGCCTATTGCGTTTGTCATTTCTTTTCTTTGACAGCATTTTTTTAATATTTGTAGAGGTTTGCTACGAAATGCTTCATGACAAAAAATGAAGCTCTTGCCTTGTAATGTCACGAAATAACACTTAATTTATTAATTGTTTTACTATATAAAAGTGACCTTCGGGTAGGACCAGTTTTGACCTCAGGCACATGATATATATAACTTTTGCTGAGGGCTATAGCTAGAAGGTTATGCTTAATACAAAACAACTCTGCCTGTGTATTGAACTTTCAATGAGGCAATTTGGATTTTGACTTTAGGGGCATGACTTAGGAAAATTTTGAATCTTTAAATACTCAACCATTAGTTAGTGTTACCAAATAGTAATTTTAAACCTTTCATAAGTAAGCTTATATCATCTGAATGAATATCAGATTAGAACAAAACAATATTAAACACACTTTTTGATACACTCCTGTCTTTTTCTTGTAAATGATCAAGTGTTTTTTATATGTCGAATACGACAAACTAGAGTTACACATCCTCATCTTTTGACAGGCGACGATCCTTTTTTTTTGTAGATTTCAATGAATATTTCACGGACAAGCATTTCCTTCTTAAATATCATGATCTTGCACAGGTTTGTAATATATGACCAAGTATATTCACTGTCAAAACTTTTTGACTTAGTTCTTTCCAAAACATTGAATAAAAATTGTATTCAAAGATGTAACTAAATCATTTTATTACCTTGTACTAACCTTTTTCTTAGGTTGCAATTATATGATAGTGTTTGGTGCGGCATGATCAGTTATATGACAATGTGCCGTCAAACTAAAAGAAACAAACAATGCAGGACCACAATATCTTCAGATTTCAGGATAGATAAATATCAACCGGCACCTGGGCTCCCTGAAAACATTTTTTTATTTTTTTTTTTACTTTTATTTGACTTTCCCGGACCAAACTATTTCCTTAACAAATTAAGCGCAAATCAAGCGACAAATACGGGTCATCTATGGACGCAAAATGCTCTTGATGGTTCAATGAACAGGCTCAATCAAACTGAGCCTGCAACATTTTCAGTTTTGCCGTATTGGGTTTTCTTAAGGGGGGTTCTGTTTTAATCTATTTTAGTAAAGCGCGCTATTGCTTGAAGCTATCTTCCATATCTTTGGCTCACAACCTTTCACTTGCCAACATCAATATCCAAATGTAAACATCGTGATTTTCTGTCAAAAGTTAGCAAACATTTGTAGGTGTGCTCTTGTAATATGTTATACAGTTTGCAGATATCACAAGGAAGTCGATTGTATTAGATTCATTACTGTTTCAACTCCAAAAACAAAATAGATAGACAAGACCCGGTCGAACCGGGTGATGCTCTCCGAAAAGGTTTTTTGACACAGGAAGGTATACCTCTTGTAGTTTCAGAGTTATGTCCCGGAAAAATGAACAGAAATGAAATGAAAATGAAAGGTCAATAACTCAAAAAAAGAGTAACGGTTTCTGCATTGCACCTTTACTCATTTTTTTTCTATATGCCTACCAAAGTTCTTGTTGATTTCAGAGTTATGTCCCGGACAAAGTTCACAATGTAAAATTGAAAATTAGCAAAAACTCCAAAATAAGGCAAGGCAGAGTTACGGTTTATTTGCACTGCACTTCTACTCTATGAAATTTATCTACCTGTGGATGTCCCGGACAAAGTTTCAAGTGTAAAAAATGAATAAAGGGAAATATTTCCAAAATTAGGCCTGGCAAAATTAGTTTTTGTTTTACTGCACTTCTACTTAATGAGATCTATCTACCTGCAAAGGTTCTTGTTGATATATCTGATAGGTTCAGAGTTATGTTCCGGACTAAGTTCAAAGTGTAAAAATCAACAAAGGGCAATACCTCCAAAATAAAGCAAGGCAGAATTACGGTTCTTTTGCACTGCACTTTTACTCAATAAGATCTATCTACATACACAGTTTCTAGTTGATATCTCATGTGGTTTCATATTTATGTCCTGGACAAATCATATGTTAACGTTGCATGGCATCATGATGTGTTTTACTTAGCTAATTACTAGAGTAATCGTATAATATTGTGGCTAAATGTGTAGCAGATTTAGCCACCATTATATGTATTACTGCTGTGACTGAGAGTTTTAATTATCTGTTTATCATAAAATACATGTATAGTGGCCACTGATGTAAGACTCAAATAAGTTTTACCACAGTATTAATTACAAATATGCTTGAATTAAAATTTTCATGTAATCAAATCAGGTAAAGTCAATTTTTATTTATTTTCAGAATGCATAAAAGTTTTGTATAATTATGTAGATTTTCATATGTTTAGAAATCAGGAAAACAGATGTCCTTTAATTCATTTCAGCACTTTTTGTAAACAATGTGCACCATTGTCACAGACAAATACCCGCATTCTTTCGAGCTGAGCTGACGACTCTCTTATAACGATAAGCAGATTGTCACTGAAAAACATGTTACTGGTCTTTGGAGGCAACTGTCTCATTTATGACACTTTCTTTGAACTAGAGCAAAAGAAATTTTAAGGCTAATGTTTTACATGTACTTTACTTCATTCATTTACAATAGTGATAGCAATTTAAATGTAAATCATTTAATAACAAAACAATATCTACTAAATAAAGTCATGGAAAATGCACTAAAAGTAAAGAGAAGTATCCAAAGCTTATGATATGTTATGACATGTACGTATTAAAGAAATTAATATAACGTAATTCCTGCATATTAAATCATATCAAAAGAATGTGTGAAATAAATCTGTGACAGGGTAAGAAAAATGTGCGGTCTGACTTGGACCTGAACCTAGGACCCTTGGAATACCAAATAGCCAAATTCGTGTTCCCGATTTCTACCAACTGATTATTTGGCAATTTACATATTGATCCTCTATAAGTTAAATGTACCCACTGACATGTTTTTTTTTTTTTTTTGTAAATGTATAATTATGTTTATTTGCCCTTCATGCGAACAATGTATTGTCCAACTGTCAATATTAATCAATATTACACAAGTTGAAATATGATTATGAATGCGAATTAGTCTGTAATGGATGGTCTTTACGTTGAATTTATTAAGTATCAGGCATAACACGAACAACGAAAGAGTTATATATGGAATGTTTTGGCAAGTATGATACATGATCTGATATTGCATGTATTCATATAGCAAATGATAAAATGTTCCAGACCAAAATGCATTTATTCATCATATAGGTGTTCATTCTAAATCACTTTATCGACATTTTCTTTTCAATCAACCTTTTTATAGGAACATCCAGTGATACATTTCTATTGCTTTATCAATACTTGAAAAAATTATAGAAAATGTGTCCATTGCAGACTTGTCCAGTTAAATGAATGACAACCAGACATTAATTAAATTTTGTTTTAGCTTAAATTATCAATTTTAAAATAGATTAATTCCAAATTGACCAGTAGCAAAAGTAGTACACAAGTACAGTAGTAGTAAATTTTCAAGATAAAATAAAATATATTTAAAGTATTATTTTAAACGGTGGATAATTAACGTTTGTATGTTTTGTCAAAATTTCTAAATCACAATGTTTTAATATGCTTTATATATTTGCAGATGTATTGCAGTTACATAGACTACACTTATAACAATATCTTGTGTAAATACAATATAACATACTTTCGAGACTGTTTGTAACAACAAGACATTTTACCCTGATGACCCAATCAAAGAAACAAATTTGGCCATATATGGTACACCTGGAATATTTCCATTACATGAAAGAAAAAAGTAAATGTATTCCAGATAATTTTACGAGTGGTCCCAATCATATTCATCTTGTTGGATCATTATTCTATGAGTCTCAGAGTAACATTTCAATAAGTGAGCAACACTGATATAAGATTTGTATAGGTATAGTGTATATAAATGAATGTTTCAGGAGAAATGAATAAGATGTTTTTGTTCTATAAATATTCATCATAGTTTAGGGACCTTTCTGTTGCACAAGTGCCACAGTTAAATCGTATATACATATACATGCACATTGCGTTAACTTGTGTGCATCTATGAGTTACCCGCACTCTAGTGCATGACCATTGATTGGCTCATTTTTTCTGGGATTTACTTATTGTGATGACAGAGAAAGGGATATCGATAGAAATATCATATTCAGGTGTTCATTCGATGGTTTCTTTTTTTTCTGGGGTTTTATTTTGTGACAACAGGGAACGAGCTTTTATTTTTGTCTATGATACAAAAGAGAAGGAACCTCAAAACACCCGGCAATCTGATTTATGCTTGGTTGCTACGCTCTCTCGTACAAATCAAATAGCCTCGTCTTCGATACTTTTCTGTTACATACAATTATCTCTGTTGTTTTTTTGTTTTTTTTGTTGTTTTTTTTTTTTTTTTTTTGGGGGGGGGTTCTTTTTTATAAAAAAAAACGATTCATTCGTTGAAATCAACTTGAGTCGTGTGTTGTGAGTTTAAAAGATCAATTAAAGACATAAACAACATAAAAATAAACTCCATATTTGATCGGATTATTGAATAAAAAATCTTGGTTATTGCATACAGTGTCTTGCGTTTGTCATTATCGTCATGGTTTCATATAATAATTATTTTCTGAAAAACTTACATTTATGAATAAGACTTGTTACTCCTTGGTGAAGATATAATTGTATTATTTTCTTAGTATCTAGGTTCCGCATTATTTATGTAATTGATTATCTTTCTTTTGTATCAATTTATCTTCCTATCTATCTAGTTATGCGATAAATGCAATAATCCTTATGATTATTTACAAAGTTTACAAACACTTTACGAATTAATAAACATGGCTGCTGGTATGTTATATTCATTATTTATTTTTTTTATGTAAATTAACATTTGATCTAAAAAATATTTTAAACGTTAGGTCATTTTGCCAAATAGCTCTTTATTTTTTTAATTATTTCCGTAACAATTTATATATTTTGAAACTCAAAATTGTAATACTTTCACTCATGATAGATAATCAGCGGGTAAACCCAAATAACATTTTTTTAATTGTTTTAAAAGCTCGTCAGGACAAAGTAAGTCATAAACACCAAGTTTCAACTTTTCATTTCTTAGATGGGAAGCTCCAATTACAAAACTAAATTATTATTTAAGATTTTGCATTGTCTAATATAAATACTAGAAAATGTATAAAAGATGTTTTATAGAAGTTTAAGGCAATTTTTAAGACTTCACTTTAAAATCTACTTATAATTGTTTCATTACTATATCGATGAATGTATCTCAAATTATAGGAAAAAGACTAATAACGAAAACCTTAAATTTCACAATTTGCACAAAACGGAGATAAAACTCACGTAGATAGTTGTATAGCTCACTATCACTATGTCCTTGTACAAATTTGTATTAGTCAAAATGAGATATAAAGGGCAAAATTCAAGGTGAACAAAGCATTCATGCACCTTGTATAAACCGCATATTTAAAGGAACGTTATACGTCTATATCCAAGGTTAAAATTACAAAATTTACAAGTGTAAGATAAACGATTTGGACTAACTTGAGATTTGATATGTAGCCATAATGTCCCTCTTTCGCGATATTCACACACACACAAGTACATGCATACTCAATGGTAACATTACCTTGAAAAGTGATTCGATCTTATTAATATTTGTCCTAATTATTCTGATTTGATCAGCAAACAATTGACAATGCTTATCTTTAAAAGAACAATAATAAATTTGCATTTTATGCATTATATAAGATTATCAAATATATTTTACTATAAATAATTTTTCATTTAAAAGAATCTTTGATCAGTTTTTCTTGGTGCTTGATAACAACTATATGCATGTACATGAACAAATACTGATAAAAAAATGCCAAAATAAATACTAATGGGGAAATATGATGATGTATATACATTTCATTGGGAACATAACATGATAACTTAAAACAATACATACATTTTAAGTATTTTATATAAAACATTTGAGTAAATGTTGGTATTCCATACAAATATAGACAGAACAATAGTTAAGAATAACTACTATCTTACACCTAAGGATTGCTGACATTGTGGGTTCAAACCCCGTCAGGGGCAATCCGTTGTTTCCGTGAGTATTGGTTGATTTTAGTATATCATATTCAAGGGTGTGTATAACCTTATAGCTTCGCAATCAGACTAAAAAGAATTTTGTATATTCAGCTTAAAACTCAGATATTGTTATTTTAACCTATAAATTGTCAACATTGTATTTACATGAAGTTACACTTTTCGTTAGTTTCCTTGCTTTTTTCTGTTTTCTTTTTCTATACTGGCAGTAACTGAGTAAGTTTATAAACGTTTCAGATAAAAGATGTATAATATATGACGTCTGGAATACTAACAATACAAAAACATTTGCAATAAGCCTTCAGAAGTATCTGATGAAAAAAGGATATAACACATCGATCACAACAAGTCTCGGCCAGGAGAAAAGCTGCCCTATTATTACATTATGTTTACTGCACTCTCGGCCTGAAGCAGACATAAACTACACATTGACCCACTGTAAGACTATTTAGAATGATTTATTATTTTTTGCATGTTCTGCGCTGATAAATACATCAATACTGCACTTAAAACTTGAAACTTGAAGCATAATACCTTATTTCGCCCTGAGTATTTTCACTGGCATTGTACTTATATGACATAATTCAAACAGAAACAACATAAAAACTTCAGAAAAAACCAAAACAATGTTTCAAATTTGAATTTGATTAAATGATTTTTAAACATCATGTGGTAATAATCTTATGTTTATCATCAATTGCAGGTGAGCGGGCTAACAGTATAATTCTTGTTTTACTGCATTTCCGGAGTAACGACACAAGGATGGGTCTATTTGATGATTTATATAAAAAGGATTATCCAGATATAACTGTGTATGATTGTTTGCTCCAGCAAGATTTTGAGAACATAAAAGAAGTGAATAAGAAAATAAAGAATGATTTAAAAGAAAGGCGTAAGAAACAAAGGGATAAACATAAATCAGGACAAGCTTGTGCTTCAAGATAATATAATTCTAAAAGTATAAATAAGCATGCATGTGACATTCCGAATAGACAGCCATATAATAATACAATAATTGAACAGCGGCATGAGAAAATGACCCTTAACGTCATTTATAAATATATATTCAAAATGACGCCAATTGGCGTTAGCGTTTTCTTTTATTTATTCCAAAAGCAATGGAAATGGCTATTTAAAGAATAAAATGTCATTTTATAAAAATAGTAAATGGCGTTGTTGGTTGTTTTCTCATGCCGGTGGTGGTATATATATTGAGATTGTTAATTTTACATTTATGCATACAATACTTTTTACTTGCCTTTAAACCTTAAATAGCGCCTCGTTCAGTATTGATGTTGTATTGTGTATGAGTGCAATAGAACTTGAATTGTACTCATTAATGACGCTGTACGGGTAGAAATGGTCAAATTTGGTTGATTGAATATGTCGCCGCCCAGGAACGTGGACAATGATCCCCGGGAATATTTGAAAAGAATTTGCACTCACCGGTCATATATTATAACCTTGGTAAACTTAGTACTTGTTCCCCGCTTTTCTTTTAAAGCTTAATCATTTACAATGTATGTTTATAATTATTTATTATTATCTATGTTGCATGCAAACAATTTTAATGATATAATTGCATTTAGTATCATTTTCCTCAAGGAAATTTATTTTACTAAGTAACGTCCGATTAATTCCTTCAAAAGACGCTAATTTTCAAATAAATGTAATTATATTGTTGAAAACTCAAGTGGAAAATATTATTTTTCTTCTGTAAATATGAAATATTTTTTGAAAATCATATGCAAACGACTAACAAATTCAAGTAATGGTTTATACCTCAAGTAATTTTCCAAAGACGGTTCATGCATTTTGATGTATTATCGTGACGATTTCTATTATTTAGTTTAAAATTTAAAGGAATGCTGTTTGTACATTACATATATAACAATAAAAAGTCTTTGTTTATGCTTTACTCCAGCATGGAACCCCAATTACATTTTAGACAAAATTTACCTTTTTAACTTCACATGAAACGCGGCAATCAAGAATAATAATAGAATATTAAAGTGACTGATAAAAAATCTACAACAATTATGAACCATTTTCTAAAGAAATGTAAGGCAATATATGAAATCACTGTAGAAATACTTGGAAAATCTATGCGAGTTTTCACAAAAGCATTAATGTATTGTTCTATGAATCTCGTTTTATTATAAAAAGACGAGCTATTTAGAGTACAGTCATATCAAATGTAACGACTCCTACACGATTGGAAAGTAACGCAAAAACGATTGCTATAGAAGTTACTGGTTGCTAAGGAAAGTCAACGCTTGCTATGGAAGTTACTTGATATATGGAAAGTCTATGGTTGATATAGATGTCACTGATTGCGATGTTAAGTCAACAGTTGATATAGAAGTCACTGGTTGCTATAACAAGTAAATGCTTGCTATGGAACTTGCTGGCTGCTAAGAAAAGCCAATGTCTGCTATGAAAGTTATTGGTTGCTAAGTAAAATGTAAATGTTTACCATGAAAGTCACTGGTTGTTAAGGAAAGTCAATGGCTGCTATAAAACGTCATTGGTTACTATGGAAGTACAGTGTTTGCTATTGACCTCTGCGAAGGCAGTAGTTACTAAGGAAATCAACAGTGCCAAACAGAACTAAATGGTTGCTATGGAATTTAGTGGTTGCAAAGGAAAGTAAATGTTTGCTATGGAGTCACTTGAGATAAGAGAAGTCAATGATTGTAATGGAAGTCACAAGTTGTTAAAAAAGACAATGATTACGATGGTGGTAACAAGTTGTTAAGAAATGACAATGAGTGAGATTTAAATAGGCCGTTGACTTACCTTGTCAACCCGGGTTCGTACGTGCGTGCTTTTATTAACTATGTATCTAAATAATTATATCAATATTGTTTAAACTAAAGACAATTTTTGCTCTAAAGAACAAGAAAGTATGTTATTTAGTGCTCTGTTAAGCATTTCTTTAAAAAAAAGTTCACGGTCATCAGAGGAAGTTTCGCGAGCATAAATCAGACCTCTATTCCAAATGTCAAGGTAAAACACAGAGTTCAGAGGAAAATGCTTCTAAGACGTAAATCTGCTTCATAGATTGAGGGTTAATAATGTAACATTGCACAAAGGTTAAACAATGTAAGGCAGTGTGTCTATACCTAGCAAAATTATGGTCCTCGTGCCCAATATCAAGGTCACAAATCAAGGTCAAAAATCAGATAGAAATGTGTGTGGACAATTTTGTAGTCTTGAATAAAACATTTTCACAAGGACTAGAGGTGTTTGTGCACTTTCCATTTAGTATCTCTCTTAAAGCGAGTGTTCGATTACCTACTAGTTGTTTGGCTTTTTTGTTGTTTTGCAATTGGTATGATACTCTATTATTGTAAAATAATTTGTGATGGCATCCTAACTTCTTAAAACTTTCTGACTTTTCTAACACAAAAATCAAAAGTCCAATTAAGGCCAATTAGAAGTCTACAGTATAACATGAAAATTAAATAAAACTAGAATATTATTGGGGCTTTTTTTGTTTGTGGCATGTCAAAAAGCGTCCACTTATTAAGAAAACTGGAATTCATATTTCGGTAGTGCCATTGCGATTTACAGTTCGCAACAGGCGTCATCGAATCTTATAGTCACTTGTTTCTTCTTATTGGGTCCTCTTCTATATAGGTTACCAATTTAGTAAATCTATCTCACAATGTTAAATTTGAATGCAATGTTAAACGAATTTGAATGGAACTAATTAATTGCGTCTGTGATATTTTGATATTACTTTTTCTTTGTCTTGTAATCTAGAAAGCAAAAACAATTTTCAATTTTAACTTGTTTTTTTTTTTTTTTTTTTTTTTTTTTTTGATTACATTGAAATACAATCTCAATCACATGATAATTTGAATTATAACCGAATACGGAATCCATAGCTGCAATTAACTTTCAAATTGATTAGATTTGTATGAGTTTCTTCTAAGTCATTAATTATTACAGGTTATCAATGACGCTATTTACTACACTATATTTTGTAAAAACTATTTTGATGTATAGTGATTTGTTTCCTCAAAGAATCTTAAATTTAAGATCGTGTATATTGATCTCCTTATATATAACATGTACATGTATATGAATGAGTCCTTTGTTACATTTAACCGTCCCTAAGGATTAAACTTTGCTTTAAAACAATATTGGTTTTCAGATTTGTTTCTCACCAATTGTCAACGTAAAAAGGTCATCTGTGCTTTTTTCATCATTCATATTCAATTTGGTTTATTTGTTATTTTGAAATAGTACTTCTTCCATGTTTCCGCTGGCATTTTGCCCAACACGTTTTGTCTTGCCTCAGCACAAAACGAGTATATCTGTCGTTGGTTAGCCTTATTATCAAACACAGACATAATATCTCTCGTTATCTCATACGAGATCATACAAACTGAGATTAAAGGCCAAGATCATAATGTCAGGTGCTATACATGCATCAACGCGATCGTGTATTCGTACTTTCTTGATCAAGTTGAGAATGGTTGAATTCGGGCCCAAAATTAGCTCAGTGAATGAGATAAAAAGAAATTTATCAATTGGTAATGCTCTAGAGATTACATTAGTAAATGAACAAGGACATCAATCTCATTGATAAATAAAGATTGTTCAAATTTTACATACCTATGTTGACGGATAATTAAGACAATTAGCTAAACTCCCATTATTCCCCATAAATGCATTATTTTTTTATTTCTTAAAAGTTATTTTTTATTTATGAAGTTTTGTTTTAGTTTCTGAAATGTTACTGATTGGCCAATTACATGAACAAACTTATGCCTATTTTGCCTTTTGGCAGATGGTAGTTAAAATGATAAAGTTCGTATGAGAGTCAAAATACTACTTTGTTTACATTTTTCTTTAACATTTTTTTCTTTTTACTTTTTTTTAACACCACACTCAGCGCATTGAATGACGACGTTGCTAGTGAGTTGCTAGTGTTATGCCAATGTATTTCGACAAGGTATAAAAAGTACTTAATTGTATTGGACTCGAATGTACATTACTTGGATAAGATATCCCAAAGCACCCGATTGTGATGGTTTTTTTTAAATGATAGCAAAATGAATTTGATAGATAACTATACACCTTTAATAATTTTTGTCTATTTGGCAGTAATTAAATTTTGATTTCAATAATACAATGCATTCCGTATAAAGAATTTTACTTCAAAATCATATGACAGACTAATGTACGATTCAGTACTAAGAAGAACACGTGATACATAAAAGGCACTTGCAATTAAAACCAAGAAATTATCTCGTACGATTTTATGTAAAACGTTTTCGACACAAGTTTAGTAGTATTAGGGCGGACCCGTAAGTGGTAATTTTAATCAACTAGTCTTTACAACCTAAGATTCAAATAGTAAATTCCTCTACTCTAATGAACAAAATAATACATTCAACAATATTTGATATTGATTCGTTGGCATTTCCCGATAAAACAAAGGTCAGTGTGCTCAATGATTCACTCAGTAATAATTATCATAATTATTCTTATGCCAACTAAATTTTCATGACCTAAACCAGCCAGGAATAAAAAAAACAATTTACGAATTAGAAAGTATATATGTAACTGTTCTTAACTCTAGACTCAATAATTATTTAGAAAGTTAAAACATTCTCTGCGAAGAACAAGCTGGATTTAGGAAAAAGTATAGCACCACTGATCATATATTTTCTCTGAAAACTTTGATTGATTTATATCTGTATAAAGGTAAAAAGTTATATTGTTCTTTTATTGATTACAGAAAGGCTTTTGATAGCATAAATAGAACTGCACTTTGGCAGAAATTAATCAGCAATAATGTTGATGGTAAATGTATAAAGATCAATTATAACATGTATTTACAAGGTAAATCTTGTGTTAAAATTAATTGTTTTAGTTATATGTCAGATTTCTTTACAAGTCATACAGGCGTTCGTCAGGGTGAAAATTTATCTCCCATATTGTTTTCTTTATTTTTAAATGATTTAAACTATTTTTTGTCACAACATTTCAATGGTCTGGATCTACTATCAAACATTGTAAATGATACCCTGAGTGATTCTGATGTTGAAATGTATTTTAAGTTGTACATTCTTTTATATGCTGATGGCACAGTTATATTTGCTGAATCTGCTGAAGAACTGTAAAAAGCACTAGATGCAATGTCAAATTATTGTCAATTATGCCATTTACAAGTTAATCCTAATAAGACTAAAATTGTTGTTTTTTGTAAAAGTAAAAGAGATTTATGTAATATTCCAGCATTTAGTTTTGAAGGTAATTTGCTAGAAATTGTTGATGATTTTTCATATCGGGGTGTTAAATTCTTTTATAATGGTAAATTTGCTAAAACAAAGAATCATTTATTAGAACAGGCAAGAAAGGCTATGTTTTCAATTATAGTTAAGGCTAGAAAATTGGATCTACCTATCAGTATGCAAATTCATTTATTTGATAGCATGGTAGCACCTATATTGTTATATGGTAGCGAAGTGTGGGGAATTGAAAATGTGCATATCATAGATAGATTTCAATTAAAATTTTTTAAACTTATATTAAATTTGAAACAAAGTACTCCAAATTGTATACTTTATGCAGATTTAGGGATATTACCTTTATCTATTCATATAAAAAGTAGAGTTTTGTGCTTTTGGAATAAGATTTTAAGAAGCAAACAAGAATCAATAAGTCATATCTTGTATAATATGTCACACTCTTTGTATTGTAGAAATGTGTTGAAACTCCCATAGATGAATAGTGCTTGTAAATTACTAGATTCACTGGGTTTATCAAATTTTTGGATTAATAATGTTGCCAGTTCTCTTCCATTGTTAAATTGTTAAAAATAGACTGAAAGATCAGTTCATTCAAAATTGGCATAGTGAAATGTCAGAATCCAGTAAATGTCTGAATTATAGAATGTACAAAAGTGAATTCAGATTTGAAAAGTTTTTAGATATTTTACCATCTCATTTAGCTTTGGT